AATTGCGATTCCTGTAGCTGCAGGGGTTTTCTTTCCTTCTCTGGGAATCAAGTTGCCACCATGGGCTGCCGGTGCATGTATGGCTCTTTCTTCTGTAACTGTTGTGTGTTCTTCTTTGCTTCTGAGGAGATACAAGAAACCTAGACTGACTACCATATTAGAAATAACTGTAGAGTAGGAGAGAAGAAGTTTTAGGTGATTGGATGAAATGGGTGAGGTTGATTTGAGTTGTTAACCCAAAATTTTGGGTGTATTTTTGTTTTTCTTGATTCCTGTTTTCTTCTCGTTTGCCCTCACACACCACGGGCCATGATGTATCACCCTTTTCCATGTAAATTGTACTTGTGTATAAAATCATTGTTGTCTTATTACAAATAAAAATTACACTATTGTCTTTCCAGTTTCAGCCGTTTAGGTTAATTATTTCGGCAATATATTTTATAAATATACTAAAATTTATACAGGAGTTTAGATTTTATCTTTCTGAAAGGAGTAGATAAATAATATTAAATAAATGTTAGATCGATTAGGTGGAGGAGATGATTGAAAACTCTCATTTTCTAAACAAAAATTTGACCATTTGAAAAAGAATCCAACATCATAAACCCCAACCACCAACAATTAAGAAAAAGCAAAGCTTACATGTGTATACAAATTCATATTTAAGACGTGTAGTTTCCAAGAAACTCTTGTCATCTTTTCGCCACTTGAGTCAAAAGTATGCATGTTTACTTTTGACTACAATTAATTATATATTCTACCCCTCAAATTATATTCAAGGCAGCAGCCATGAATAATGATATGAGAAGCTTTCAGTTTCATGATCATAATCAGCAAAGGAGTGATGATCCTATGGTGGCCGGATCTTTTCCTCTTAGGTTCTCCATGGATGCTCAAGTAAGTGATAGTAATCTCCAGGTGAGTAGTCAAACTGGTCAAACTCCTTCTAAACCGAGCCGAAGATCAAGATCCAGAGTTTCTAAAAAGACACCCACAACACTGCTTAATGCAGACGCCACTAATTTTCGAGCCCTGGTTCAGCACTTCACGGGCTGCCCTGTGCACCGACGCACCGGGCCGGTTAACTTGAGTTTTGGCTCAGCCGCGCCTTTGTCTTCTTCTTCTTCTTCTTCTTCCTCCATGGCTGCAGCTACCAGCTATCATCAGCATCAGCATCAATCACTGTATGATATTCATCATGATCGGCAGCAGCAAAATCATGTTATAAGCAGTACTGGTCAAGCAGTAATTTCTTCTTCATCCGCTTTACCTACTGATGTTAACATGGAAAATTTTGAAGGGTTTTTCTCGGATGACGTTCCTTTAACTCGATATTATTAGACAGATCGACGCTTCCTTCAATAATATGAGCAGCTACCTAGAATATAGATATACATATATATATATATATATGTACTAACTATGCTTCTTGTAAATTAATATGTACGACGCAAAAGCTTCTGTATTTCTAGCTTTTGATTTGAAGATTTGAGTAATTGGGTGAGAATGTCATTTGGGTTTTGTTTAATAAATATTTACAAGTAGCTTATCATGCATGCGTAAATATTCAGTTCGTAAACAATATATATGTATGTATCTTTCCTAATAATATATTTCTTTTTTGCATTATCATTTCATGATTTGTTTCATTGAGTTGAAAGTGTGTGTGTGTATATATATATATAATCATAATAAGTAAGTAATACATATCCTGGTAGCTAATTAGTTATATCCTAATCGATCTCATCCAACACAGTTTATATTAATCAATATTAATGTTTAAATTTTGATATTGTGCTAATTAAAGATATTTAATTAATGTGTAATTGCAATATCATAATTGTTTATGGTAAGCACTAAATTAATTAACTTGCCAAAATTTAAATTTAATTAAAGATGCACTTCAATTATTTAAAATAAAAAACTAATAATTCAAGATATAAAATAATAAATTTTTATTGAATGGTAAGAAATATTTCCCAACTCCACTTAAATCAAATTGTATTTTTTTTTTCTTTAGATTAGATTTTATTGTTAGAATAATTATCAAATATCAACCTAATAACAACAAACGTTATTATTATACGCACAAAATAAATAATTCAGATTTCATATTTTATTTCAAATTCTCTCATAACAAAATAAATAGTAATTTAATTTCAAAAGCATCCTTTAAAACACGGCTACGCAACAAAATTACAAAAAGGCCCCTTACCTCCCCGTCCGCCCAATTGTTCTCCTTCGTCTCTCTCTCTTTTCTTGTCTCTTAAACCCTAGAAGGGTTTTTCATTTTTTTTTTCTTTTGGGTCAAATTTCTTGATTTTCATCTCTCTGCTGATGTAATTATCCTTAAAAATCGATTAGTAGAATCGGTTTCAGTGTTGATTTCTTTCACACGAAACCATGAGTTCTCTTGCTAAGGCTCTAGCAAGGCGCGTATATTCATCTTCTCAGTTGAGAGCAACACCAACAAGAGAAAGAACATGGGTTATCTTGCAACAGTTTCACTCCATTTCTACTACCACTGCAAGCAGAACTGGCAGTGGTGCTGAACCCAAATCTTACAAATTAACCAATACGCCCATAGAGATGGCAGAGACACCGTCGTGGCCGAGGCCCGCTGAGATACCGTACCAGCCGAAGGTAGCCAACTCAGTGAATCTGATTGGCTTCGTGAATCAGACGGTAGAATTCCAGGCTGCCTCCGATGGCAAGTTCTGGGCAGGAACCGTCATCTCCCAGCGTTCTTCTTCGTCTGACTCTTCTGGCGTCTGGTACCCTCATACTTCATTCCCTTACTCTTCAATTCTTTCTTATCTTGTATTGCTTTGCAATTAATAAACATACCTCCTTACTTTTACGAGCGTGGAAGATGTTGTTGAAAAACGTGTGCGGATATGCATATGGGTGTATTTATAAATAAGCATTCTAGTTATGGGGAAATGAAAATCACCAGTGTGATGATCTTGTCTTTTGTGCCTGAACGGTTTGCTCACTCGTTTATGTCTGACTGTGTTAAAAAAGTCTATTTACTTGTATATGTTGTTTTTCTCAGACCACATTTTCCTTTCAAACTCCTCGGGGTTCACCAGAACATTTTCTAGATTCATACCCGTTTATGCATGTACTTATTCACTGAAATCATGCATGTGACTTGTGTTTGTCAAAAGACAAATTAAAATATTTTCTACAATATTATTTTTTTTCCTCAAACACCAATGTTTTTGCCATCTTTTTTCTTTCATGCTAATTAAGTTGCATACTTTTTATCTGAAAGGTATATGTGAATATGGGAATGAAAACTAGAGTTGTTTCTATGTACCAATTGGTTTTTTATTGACTTCTGTTTTTTTTTGTTTTTTTCCAGTTCTATTATCTCTTCATTGCTTTTTGCTTAATTGAATTTTGTTCTTCTTGTGGTCTTACAGTGGATCCATGTTTATGTTATTCTTTTGCAACGTTGCGAATGTTATGTGCTTTGTTTGTGATATTATTAGGATCCCGATTATATTTGAAGGTGATTTGGCTCATGTTGCTGCTTGCCATTTGAAGAAAAATGATCACATCCATATATCAGGACAACTTTTTGCAGATGCTCCTCCTTCCACTACACCTCAAACACCAGTGAATATCCAGGTAATGCATTATGGAGCATTTGTTTACATAATATTAAGGCAACAAGCTACCTGGATCCTGAGCTTTGCGACATACCACTTAGACTTATTTTTACACAGATATCTGGTGACAAAATAGACCATTACTTGATAAGAAGCTTAAAAGGTTGCTTTGATCATGTCAGGTTATGGTACACAGTCTCAATTTTGTTGAGGAAGATTCTCGAGCGAAGCAAGACTTTGCACCATGGAGAAAAGGTGTATTAGAACATTCCGGTAAATGTTGTGTTTATCTATTGTTCTGACATCCATACAAGATTGTAAATTATTTGCACCTTTTATTTTTTCTTTTGATATAATGGTTTTACTCACAAAGCTGTACTTGTTTGTTAAGATGTGTTCACCTTTTAAGGGTCAGTGGCAGATTTTGCACATTTGCTTTTCATGTAACTAGAATGGTTCTTATCTTAGTAGCTAATTGAACGTGTGTGTATGTATATATATATATATATATTTTCACAAAGCTGATTAAATTTGAGATTGTATGACACATCAACAATTTAATTGTTCAAAATTATAACTGTTTCATTCTTTATATACTAATGTAGGTAAAAAATGGAATATTAAGCAAAAACATTTGACTAAAACCTGTATCATCAGTTATTTTCGTAATTATACAAATCCCAATTTAAGCTTCTCAATGAAAAATCTCCCCTTTGTTATCCTGAAAATGTAGATTGATGAGAAATCCAAATGGATCAAAAGAAACTATATCACATTTTAGTGTGAAACTGTTTCTTCTCTTTTCGGTTTTGTGTTTGAAACTTTCTTGAAGTGCTCATGTTGATGGCATTTTGCATGAAAAATATTTTTACCATCATGTAACTTGTATTTAGGTTTTAAAATTTGTTTTAGATAATAATTTGCTTAGATTGAATACCGAGTACGATTTGACAATTTCAGCTAGTGTGAAGAGAGATGAAGATAATGGATTTGGCTCTTGGAAAGACCTTCTTGATAATCCACAAGAGTGGTGGGATTACCGTGATGATAAAAAAAAGGGATTGGTAATGTCCTTTTTGTTTTTGTTTTCATTATGTTAAAGTTTATTATTTAATGAACAAGGTACTTCTTATTTTCTTAATCCTTAGGTGAAGCCAAAATTTCCTGATTTTAAACGCAAGGATGGTGGTCATGCACTTTGGCTTAATAAGATTCCTCGCCTGGTTTTGAAAAAACTTGAAACAGTGGAGCTTGACAGACCAGTTTCTAAGTTTAAACAATTCAAGCAACAAAAAGGTAGGGGCACTTTGTTGGTAATTATGTTTCAATGTCATGCTGGGTTGAGTAAGGATGTGGCGACTTGCATTCATATCTACGGACATAATCATATAAACCATTTCCATGTGTTTTATCACTTCATTTGTCTAAGAACGCAGCATGCTGAATTCGTCTCTGTGCGGTAAGATTATAACTGTTTGAGGTTTTCTGGAAAATGGGCCCACGGATCCAAGAAAGGGAAATAGTGAAAAGAAAAGGTATTTGATCCATTGGTCTCTAGGTAGAGAATCATTTATCAATTTGGTGTTGGATTTTAGTAAAAGGAACTGCATTCTGAATGATCCATTACAACATCTGATTCATGCTGCATGTCATCTGTGTGTTTGCAATAAAATGTTTTTTTTAATAATTATAAATTCTTGCTGGATGAACCAATTTGGAGAGGTGGTCACCAAATAAGAACTTCAGCGGTTTTAAACAGGGATTGGCCTGTTATTCTTTATTGGGATTAACTAGCCTCACTCCTTTCTTCTTTAGCTTTTTGGTGGATACGTAATTCTCCCTGTTTGTATCTCCTTTCTATTGATATATATTTTCTTTTGATAAAAAAACCCTAATATCATAAAATTTAGTGATGCATAACCAGTTCAGAAAAATAAACTTTTTGGGAAGTTTTACATTAGAAAGAATAGGAAGATTTTATTTCACTTTCTTGTAGGAATAAAAATTTTGGAAAATTTTACAATAAAGGGAAATAGGAATTTAATTTTGTTTTTCTAAGTAATCTCCTAGTTCTTTCTATGTAACTTGTTTTTATACTAACTAGATTTTCTATTTTCAATTGTATATGGCACTCATAATACTCTAGTTAGTTAGTAGACAAACGATTTATGATTATCATTCAAATAGTAAGATGTTGCTTTGGTTATTGAAATCCGAGATCTTCAAGTTTTTGTTGTTAATAATTTTTTTTTAAAATTGTCTTTAATCTCGCTTTTTCTACGTTATTGAGAAAACATATATTTATGACTATAGTTTAAAAAGACATCGTGATAGCTGTTATGAAAACATATGTTTAAACTCAACTATATACTTTCATGTACTAAGAAATCATATTCATCTTTCACTAAAAGTAATTCCTTTTTGTAGCCAGTTTTAGAGATCTGACATGCAAATGTTTGAGAAGTTGGATGTGGAAACCAACCTGCAATTTCAGCAGGAGCATAGAGATCCTGTTTATGGTCGTTTATAACCTGAAGCTACAAAGATAAATGAAAGTAATCATTTCAGGCATCCAGTATTTCACTCCCGTCAGCTCTTCCCTTTCCTATCAATACTTGCTGCCTTGACTAGATCATGATGATAGATTAATATACCGTCATACATTTCTGCTAAAGAAAGCAAATTCCATTTCTACTGCCAACTTCTTTACTAGAATTCCAGTAAGGGGTGGGAGCTGGGCAGACTTTTAGAAGAGAGACACCATAGTGAACCCTGTAAATCTTCAACTAATAATCATGTGGAAAGAAGGAAAAGGTTTTATTCTCATTCTGAGGGCCAACTAACTGTGCATGTTGCAGGAAATGTTATGTTTGATACCATGGAAAATTTATTGCAAAATGGGATCTGCATGTTTTTCCAAGTATTATTCTTTTATTCTTGTGCAGACAGTTCTGCATAAAATTCAGAACTATGGTTACTGGTTTGATTTTTGGGATTTTTTCCTTCTAATTAACTGTAGGCCGATCGCATGGCATGGCGTTTTCATTTTAAACTTCTGATAATTCATTAGTCTCTTTGGCTTTGAGTTGAAACTCACGATTTCCTTGATTTACCTCTCAATGTTCTCTGTTAATCCTTTTACAAGTCTGAACATTGTAAAATGTATGAAATGTGTGGAGTTGTTGATGCTAAAGCTAGGGTCTGCCTGGCATATGGAGAAGCATAAATTAATGGATTTCATACCTTAAGTTGAAAAAGAAAAATTATAAATTAATTTAGACATGAATATGAATTAGAAGTATAGGCTACAAGTTTTACAGGAGTATTCATAAACTGCCTAAAAAATTTGGAATTTGCAATAGATGGAAAGCCTTGTTGACTTGTTACAAGACATAAAAGAGTACAGTTGAGTTATATTCTCTGGAGAAACAGCTTTTACTTCTGATTTTACATTTTGTGCTTGTCAAAAAGAGAATGCATAAACATGATGCATTTTTTTGTTAAGCAGCATTTATTGTGACTTGAATTAGGGGATGAATCCTGGAAGAACTTGGTTGAAAACCCAAATAAGTGGTGGGACAACAGATTAGATAAGGTAATATAGAAGCCTACTAGAATGACTTAGCCCTCCTGTTCTTTTTTTTTTTGGTTTTTTGTTTCTCTTCTTGTTTAATGGTAATACGAGTATTTCCTTATGCCGGGATTAATTCATAGAGGACTGAAAAGTATCCAGACTTCAAGCACAAAGAAACTGGTGAATGCCTATGGCTAAGCGGTTCTCCAACATGGGTACTACCAAAGTTGCCGTCTCCAAAGCATGAAAGGGCATCTGCTGCCAGTGGCGAAGTGGTGGAAAGAGGGATCTGAGTCTTTTGTAACCGAGCTTTAACCAGAATTTGGTCTGCCTACGCATCTGGGGATGAAGAAAGTTGCTCAGTTCTTTTAAAGCAAATTGTAAAGTATTGATGTAAGCGTTTGTTATTTAATGTTTTCTTTTTTCACAACTAGAAGTGTTATATACTAACATTCTATATTATAGATATGATGTTTGTTCAAAATTTGACCATCAACTTCATCAATTAATATATGATGATGTGAATGTGTTTGTGAGCAGTAGATACAAAAAGAAGTATGGGGCATGAAAGATGGTGAACAGATGCAGTGTGAGTTCTGTTGAGAATAAGGATAAAAAGGTAGGAGGAGTCGTCAAAGTTGTTGAATGAGGATGGAAAGAGAAAAGGAAGTCAACAAAGAAGTTGGAGTGGAGAGGAAGGAAAAAGGGAAGGAAGATGGTGAGAAGTTTACTGGATTTTCATGTCTGGGAAGAAGAGAATAGATCTTTTTCCTTTTGGATCTTGGTTAATGTTTTCAACTTTTTTTTTTTTCTTGATTTTTGACTTTTCACTG